TCTTCCTCTGGCAGCCTGTACTCTGCTCCGCACACCTCACCTCCCCAAAGTCAGGGTCAGAGACCGGCTCTTTCATCTCTTCTTTCCCCTAGCACCCAGTGTGACTACTTCACATGGTGGAGATCTGTTCTGGCCACGTTCTCACGGCTGGCCCCAAGTGGTATCTGATGCGTATTTCCTTCCAAAATCCCAGGATAGAGTATGTAACGGTGACTCCAGAAGGATTCCGGTACCGGGGCCAAATCTTCCCAACTGTGAATGGACTTTTCAGATGGTTTAAGGATCATTACCAGGATCCTGTACCGGGTGAGTTGTGCTCTCTGACTTCAGGGCTGTGGCTGGAGGGACACCTCGGCTCTGAATCACGGTATCACTACCTAGCCTTCTGTGGAAGGGGGTGAGGTACAGGCTGTCATTGCAGCTCTCTTCCTTCTACTCCAACCTCCTAGCACAGTGATGGCGAACCTTTTGAACTCAGCGTGTCAGCATTTTGAAAAACCCTAACTTAACTCTGGTGCCGTGTCACATATAGAAATTTTTTGATGCCCTAATCAGTTTGGCTCAGTGGATAGAGCGTCGGCCTGCGGACTGAAGGGTCCCAGGTCCGATTCCGGTCAAGGGCATGTACCTTGGTTGCGGGCACATCCCCAGGAGGGGGTGTGCAAGAGGCAGCTGATCGATGTTTCTCTCTCATCGATGTTTCTAACTCTCTATCCCTCTCCCTTCCTCTCTGTAAAAAATCAATAAAATATATTTTTTAAAAAAAGAAATTTTTTGATATTTGCAACCATAGTAAAACAAAGATTTATACTTTTGATATTTATTTTATATATTTAAATGCCATTTAACGAAGAAAACTCAACCAAAAAAATTAGTTCGCGTGTCACCTTTGACACGCGTGTCACAGGTTCGCCATCACTGTCCTAGCTTCAGGAAGTTCCTCCATCCACTTTGCCTATGTGGCTTAATTTTTCTCAGTACCTCCTTCAGTTCCCTGAATTATGAAACCAGAAACATAACTGACTCTGCCTATTTCCTGTAGGAATCACTCCCAGTAGCAGCAGCAGGACCCGGACACCTGCTTCTATCAATGCTACTCCAGCTAACCTCAACCTTGCAGGTAAGGAGCTCCCGCCCAGGACTGTGACTCAGAGGGACAAAGCTAGGACTTTCACCTCTAATGTGCCCTCTTCCACCTCTTTGTGCTTACAGATCTGACACGGGCTGTGAATGCCTTGCCCCAGAACATGACCTCACAGATGTTCAGTGCCATTGCTGCTGTGACAGGCCAAGGACAGAACCCTAATGCCACCCCAGCCCAGTGGGCCTCCAGCCAGTATGGCTATGGTGGCAGTGGAGGGGGCAGTAGCGCTTACCACGTACGTGGCTTGGAGGGGAAGCGTTTTGTGGAGGGTGGGGAAAAAGAAAGGGAACGGTCATCCTTTACCAACCTGTGTCCATAGACTGGCTGCTGGCAGTGCCCACCTTTATGCACAGATGGGCCTTATCTACAACAGATGATCCTTTTCCTCAGGCCCATTTGAGGGGAAAGGGAATAAGAGAAGGTGTGATCTTTCTGCAGAGTTCTTGGGATCTTTGGAACCCTCAAGCCACTAGAATCCTCAACTAGTCAGGACCAGAGGCCCTATTGTGCCTGGTCCCATTCCATTGGCCTCCCTATCTGCTCAGGAGAGGGTCAACTGGAAAGCTTTGCAGAAATTCATGGGAACCCTAAGTATGCCCCAAACCCATCCCCATTTAACTGTTCACTCTTCTCCAGGTGTTCCCAACGCCAGCCCAGCAGCCAGTGGCCACACCACTAATGACCCCCAGCTACTCCTACACAACCCCAAGCCAGCCCATCACCACACCACAGTACCACCAGCTACAGGCCAGCACCACCCCACAGTCTGCCCAGGCCCAGCCCCAGCCCTCCTCCAGCTCTCGGCAACGGCAGCAACAGCCAAAGTAAGTATATGGGTGGTGGCATGGAGCAGGTTATTAGTAAGGGCAGGTGCTGTCAAGAGGCCAAGGGGCTTAGCATAGGCAGGTGCTCTGGACCTTCTGAGAGCCATGACCCAGGTGATGTTCCCATGAGGACTGCATTCTGGGAGATAACAGAAGAGGGCGGTGTGGCAGTTGGCCACAGCTACTGACCATAGGTATGAAGTCGATTTCTGCAAGGGTGGATGTTCATCAGTGATTGTTGAGCCTTCTAGTGTTCCAATCTGAAAGGCCCCTTCCCTCTTCCAGGTCCAACAGCCACGCAGCCATCGACTGGGGGAAGATGGCGGAGCAGTGGCTTCAGGAGAAGGAGGCTGAGCGGCGGAAACAGAAGCAGCGGCTGACACCTCGGCCGTCCCCCAGCCCTATGATTGAAAGCACCCCCATGTCTATTGCTGGCGATGCCACCCCGCTCTTGGACGAGATGGATCGGTAGGGGGCCTGCTCCCAGGACTCTGGTTACCTCTGAGGCTGGGAGATGCCTGCCTCCTTCCCTGCCCCTCCTTTTCTGTCCATAAAGTGGCGTGAAGTGACGTTCTCTTGGTGGTCAGCCTGGGTGGGTGACAGGCTGGATGGCCTTTCGAACTTGAGCTCAGTGTATGCTAGGCGACAATTCTCCCATTCCCGGCCCTCACCGACCACCTCTCCTGGGACCAGGCTGGGAAGGGAGTGTGGCAGGGAGGAAGAAGAGGAAGATGAAAGTGGAACAGTTTTGTATTCTACTTCCCTACAAGCCATTTTGAGCTTCTGCCCTTACCTGACTCTGGGCTGGGACCGGGCAGCAAGCTCAGCACATGAGTCTCCCCAGCTCTTGTGGGGAGACAGATGCTATTTATTCAGTTCGGGGCAGGAGGAAGAGGACGGGAAGTATTTCTGACCTTCATGCCAACAACTTGGTGGCTATCAAAGCGGGATTGTAGGGGACAAAGGGTTGCAGTGCTAACCTGCCCAGCCCCCTCCTGGCCACCCTCACCCACCTGCTGCCACCGCTGCTTCCTGCCTGTCATTTGAATAAACAGTGTTTCTACAGAGCACTTGACAAAGCCTCTCTCTCCCTCTCTGGTTCTTGAGGGGTGGCTTTCAAAGCAGTGTTTGGATCTCTAAGGGCTTCCGACTCCCTCTCCCAGGCCATCAGAAAGGCAAGTTACTCCGAGAAGCAGGTGGCTTCTGCACCAGATTGCCTGATATCACATTCCTGTTCCACTTCCCAGTCCTATGACCTTGAGCGCACTCCTGTTATCTCTAAGCCTGCTTGTCTGTAAAGGAGATGGTGATACCTACCTCATCAGAGCATCTGTGAGGACAGATAGAAAGAATGTGTGAAGTGCTTGGCCCAATGCCTGGGACCTCATAAGGCCTCAGTAAATGTTAGCTGCTATTACTTCCACTCACACACAGCCACTGCCAGCCACTGTGCCTGCTACAGATGGTCCCCAACTTAATAATGATTCCACTTAAGATTTCTTGACTTCACAGTCGTGCAAAAGCTATACACTTGCAGTAGAAACTGTACTTCACATTTTGAGTTTTGCTCTTTTCCCGGGCCAGTGATAGGCAGTAGGATACTCTCCTGATGCTGCATGATGCTGGGCAGCGGCAGCAGTGTGCTGCAGCCCCCAGGCAGGCAAGCAGTCACCAGCGTAAACAACAGTGTTCATTGTGCTAGATTAAGCATGTCAAACTCGCTTCCCACGGGCCACATGCCTCGTTTATGTGGCCCGTGTTAGCCTTTGACTTTGACATGCTTGTACTAGATGCTTTTCCCAACTGTAGGCTGATGTAAGTATTCTGAGCACGTTTAAAGTAGACTGGGCTAAGTTGTTCAGGTGTGTTAAGTGCATTTTCGCTCTAACGATATTTCCAACTTACAGTGGGTTTATCTGGACGTAACCCCATCGTAAGTCGAGGAGCACCTGTGGACTTCTTGGGCACAGTTGAGAAAGGCCACAAGTAAATCTGGGTTTCTCACCCTGAGCCCCTGCACATCTCTTCCCTGTTTGCCAGCTGGGCCTGAATGTCTGGCAGTACTTCTACACCAGTTAAGTGTGTCTGACCCAGGATGGGCCCACGCTTGCCTGCTACACACAAACACTGGCCCTGGAAAAGGGAGCTGGGCTGTTGCAGGCTAGTTCCCAGGCCTTGGTCCTTTCCCCAGCCCCACAGCCTCTTTTATTCTGGATTCTGATCTCCCTGTGTTTCTTCCCAAAGGTTTTGTCTCATAGCTCTGTGAGTCGGGGCTGGGAAAGTGAGGCTTTCCTACTCTTTTTCCTCTGCTTGAGGCTCAGCAAAGAAGTAAAAAAAAGCCACTGCTGCCCAAACTTGGTGAGCTCCCTTCTTTGCCTTTTTTTTTAAAAAATGAGAGAGGGAGACCTGGCCGGTTTGGCTCAGTGGATAAAGCGTCGGCCTGCGGACTCAAGGGTCCCAGGTTCGATTCCGGTCAAGGGCATGTACCTTGGTTGCAGGCACATCCCCAGTGGGGGTGTGCAGGAGGCAGCTGATCAATGTTTCTGTCTCATCTATGTTTCTAACTCTCTATCCCTCTCCCTTCCTTTCTGTAAAAAAATCAATAAAATATATTTTTTAAAAAAATAAAAAAAATAAATGAGAGAGGGAGAGGGAAAAAGGGAGAAACATCAATCAGCTGCCTCCTGCACTACCCCACTGGGGATGAGCCTGCAACCTGGCATGTGCCCTGACGGGGAATCGAACTGGTGATCTCTCAGTGCATGGAATGACACTCAACCAATTGAGCCACACTGGCCAAGGCCCTTCCTTGCTTTTTCTTCATTTAAGATCTCTGGCTTTTGGCAAGAGTTGCGGGGAGAAGAGGGGGGGTTGGCCTTTAGTAGGGAACTCAGTTCAGTTCCCTTTAGCACAAAAGGTCTAGAGGGGCCTTGTAGGAGCAGGTCCACAGAGCTGGTAAGATCATGTTCCCTTTGGTGCTACCAGCACCTTCTCCAGGGCCACTTAAAAGAGGGGAAGGGCAGGCGCAGTGGCAGAGGTTAAAAGGTTCAGTTTATTAGGGGTATCGTTACAGATAATCCCGCCTGTCCCAGAGTGGACTTAACACAGACCAGCCTCCCCATAGATGGGAAGCCTCCTTCCCTCCTCACCCAGATGTGCTCTTCTGCCCTGGGCCTAGGATGTTACAGAGAAACAGGCTGTTACAGTGCCCCTCCCTGCCCTCCCACCTACCTTCCCATGGACTTCCTCTTGGCAGATGGACTGCCCTTTAGAAACCCCCGCAGGCCCCTAGCCCCTTCGCTCCAGCTATGCCCAGAGCCCACCCCTGCCCCCCAGCAGCAGCCAAGTTAGAGGGAGAGAAGAGCAGCAGGGGGTTTGCGACAGGCTGGATGGCATTTATTCTTCACCTGGTCGCCCGGCCTCAACTGAGATTGGGGCTGGATACTGGGGGGGATTTCCTCTTGTTCATCTTCTTGATTGGAGAGGGTTTTGCTCCAAGTTTCTTGGCCTGGACCGTGTTCTTATCTCTCTTTCTGGGCGATGACTCTACAATATCCTCACTGGAGGGCTCCTCCTGCCTGGGGTCATTGAAACTGTCCTCACTCTCCAGGTCTTCCCGGCTCTCGGGGCTGGATTCTGACAGCCTGAACAGCTCCCTTGGGCTTAATGATCTGCTCAAGTCTGGAGGTGAAGGTTCTGATTTAACTGGGCTTCTCTTTTTAGTCAACTTGCCCTTCTTGACTTTTTTCTTCATCTTTGCCTTCTCATCTGTATCCTCCTCATCTTTCTCTTTTTCCTTTTTCTTCTTGGCCTTGATAATCTTGCTGCCCTGGGACTTCCCTGTGGGACTCTCAGAGCGCCAGATGGTAATGGGAGCCGCCGAGTCTGTTGTGCCCATGATGGTGCCCATTTCTATGCCTTTGTCCTTGGGTGTGATGGCGGTGGGCCCCACCTGGGTTGGGATGGGAGGCTTGCTTTCTTCCTCCTCTTCCTCTTCTTCATTTAGGTCATCTCTAAATTCGTGGTGGAGGGGATGGTGGATCACTGCCACAGAGACAGGCCTGAAGCTTTTGCACCTGGGAGGGAGGGAGGGAAAGAGAAGGTTGACAAAGAGTGAGGGCGATTGCCCTGCAGTGCCCCCGTCAGCCTGCCAGCACTCACCAGCCATACCAGAACCGCTCCACATACTCTTCCTCGGGGATGAACTCAAAGCAAGGGGTCTGGACGATGTCGAAACAGGTTGGGCCCACATCTCGGGAACAGGTTGGGCCTGCATCTTGGGAGATGCTGCTATTTGTCTTCTCTGAGTAGTCCTTCACCCTGCCACACAGAACTCAGCCTGGTTCCCACACCTCCAGGACTCCCCAGGGGCCCAGAGCCAGGAGCCTGGAGGACAGTGGGCTTTCTGAGTCGTAACTGCAGCTCAGCCCAGGCTGCCAAAAGCCCTCCTCCCCATTGCTCTTGGAGCAGAGCCAGGTTTACAAAGCCGGGGTTGGGCTGGCAGTGCCTGGTCAAAGCTAAAGGAGGGGACTGCAGTGAAAGTTTGGACCTGGCCCTGCCCGGGAGTCTCCTGGGCTGTGGATCGCCCAAGGAGGAGGGTCCTTACCTAGAGTCACAGTCACAGTCACAGTCACAGTGGCTGAGAGAGTGCAGGTGCAGGTTGTAGTGACCACAGTCAGAGGTGAAGGGGTGGATGATATGCCCAGGGCACTGCTTGTGATTCCAGCAGCACCTGTCAGTGTCCTTGAATTCGCCTAAGGGGTCGGAGTCTGGGTCATACAGGGGTAGCGGTAGCAGCACATCTGTGGGTCTCTCCTTCCACAGCTCAGTCTATATGCTTCACCAAATTCACCTGCCCCCAACCCCCCCCCTCGACACACACACACACACAGGCAGCTGCTTCTACTTCATAGTAGTCATTCCGTCCAGTAGTAACTCCAGGTCTCACCAGTGGGCTTTCCCCAACCCACTGCATGGATCTGTCTGCCCCCTGCTCGCTCCCAGGAAGATGTCTCACCAAGGCCCTCACCAAAGCCCCCTTGCTGTCCTGTGACACCTGCCTCTTCCCCTCCCCTGCCTTCCATGGAGCCTGCCTTCCTGGAGCCCTCCCTCCACTGGCTCCTGCTGGCCTCTCGTGCAGCTGCTGCACACTGTCAGCTGCCTCACTCCACAGGGTGCCTCGTAGGGGACAGCCCTCTTGCTGTGGCAGACTGAGGAGTGCCACTTCAGAGTCCCCAGTGATTAGAGCCAGCAACACAGCATCCCCAGCTCCTATGCCTGCCCTGCACAGGCCCAGGAGGCCTTCATCCCACCCCTCGAAGCCTCTGATGCCATTCCGGCCCCAAGGACCGCCACAGCATGGTGGCTCATGCCTGGACGGGAGCTAAGGTCTGTCCTACCACATGTCATGCCCCTTTGCTTCTCCTGACTCTGGGCCTGCCTTTTTCCTCTTCTCTCCTCCAGGCTCCTCCTCTCTCCAGGCACTCTTCTCACATCTCTCCCCTTTCCCATGCTCACCCTGGATTCTTTCCCTGCTCTTGAACCATAAAATTCCCACTCCCCCTCCATTCTCTCCCCAGTCCTTGGAGCCCACAGACTTGAACAACCCACTCCCAACCTGAGTCCTTCTACCCCTTTGCCAGGAAACAGGGGAGATGCTGCTGGGGTAAGAATTGGGATTAAGGGGAAGCCCTGGAGAAAGGTTCCCACCTCTTTTACTCAACGGAATGCAAGTCCTGGACACACACTGGAGTCTCCCAGCCTCTACCCGCACTGCCTCATCTCCGACCCTGCCTAAGACTCCAGTCTACCAATGGGTCTCCCCTCCGGCCACTCTCCAAAAGGTAAGCCCATGAAATGCCTCCACGTGCCCAGGGCCTCACACATCAAGGCAGAGAGCACCTTCCTGCAGGTCTCCCCTGGACTCTGACTCCACCCACCTTGGGAGGGAGAAGTGGATGAACACCAATGACTTCCATAGCAGTCTGGCATGGGGTGCCATGGCTGGCTAACTCCCCGCCAAACAGGCCAGGAGGATTGCACCTTTATCCAGCCCCTACAAGGTGTGGAACTGGGGCAAGATCTCATATAAACCCCGGCTGGGGCTGTGTTAGTCCAAGTGGCCTTAAATACTTGAGAGATGAGTAGACGGCAGCGTGGTCTGAGCCTTGCCCCACATTCCTCCCTTCCCTCTACCAGGCTGCGAGGGTCCCAGGTCCCCCATATACGCTTGACCCATTTGGTGGCCTCCCTGTCTGCTTCCTCTCCTCATGTCCTTTCTTCATAAGGATGTGAGCAGGACTTGGGAATAGCACCACACCCTCAGCTTGCTTCAGCACTGCTGGACTGGGGCAAAGGGCAGCACAGTGGCAAGTGTCCTTGAAGTCAGGCCTGAGTCCAAGTGTTGGCTCTGTCACAAGGGGGGTTACTAAGGACCAGTCACTTTGCTTTTCTAAGTCTTCATTTTTCTGCCCACAAAATGGG